CAGGTGCCCGCCGTTTGCAGGCAGCAGCCTCCACAGGACAAGGACCAGATGTGCCCCATCACTCTTCCACGTGCACATGCACACACATGAAGGTCCCTCTGTGTCTTTCTGCCCTGGGCTCCCCTCGCTGGTGTGCCCTGGCCCACACCCTGGTGGCTTTGGGCTCTTTTCCTTCCCCTGTGCCCGGTGCTCCTGCAGCAGGGGTTTGGCACAGGGACACGCTCTGCTCTGCTCTCAGCAGTGCCCATCCCATCTCTGCTCTCCCTTTCCTCTCCCCAGAGGTCGCAGTGGGGGCATGCTGGTGGATCCTCTGCGCTCTGGCTTCAGGCAGCCTGGTGCTGACCCCTCCTCGGGCATCCCGGGGCGCCTGCCCCCGGGGGCGGTTCCACCAGGCGCCAGGTTCGACCCCTTCGGCCCCCTGGGAGCCGGGAGATCCGGGTAGGTCCTTGTCCGTGCCCAGGCCCCACCTGCTCCTGGGTCTGCTGGCTCATCCCCTGTTGCTTTGGGACTGAGCTCTCCCTGCTGGTTTGACTCTGCTCTGAATTTCTTTCCAGGCCAGATCCCGACCACCTTCCCCCTCCGGGCTACGACGACATGTTCATGTGAGGAGCCACGGCGTGGCTGCGGCCACAGCGGTCTCCTGGGGAGCAGCAGCACTTCCCCCTCTCTGCTCCCCTTTTGGGTGGACTTGATCTTCTCAGCAGCATTTCTTCTGCCTGCTCGGGGCCACCTTCCTGTGTCAGACCAGCTATAAAGGTTTCCCTGTGCACGGAACTGAGGAGGAGGCCGTAGGTCCCTTTCTTTCTGTGCTCTTCTGGGGGTGCCCGGGTGTGTGCACCCGGTGGAAGTGATCCTGCCCCATGAGGGGTGCAGCATGGCCTGGGTGCTGTGGGCTTTCCTCCTCTGCTTCTCTGTGGTGGCACTGCTTTGGCTGCTGGGGTTACACGAGCAGTTGTTTATTTGTGGCATTAAAGCCATGAGAATTGAGCGTGGGGGCAGCTGGAGCATCCCCTGCATTCCCCCAGGACTCGTGCGTGCTCCCCCGTGTTTGCAGGAGCTGGGCTCAAGCCAAGACCTGGCTCCTGGGGCTCTTGGCTCCCTGTCCCTGGGGATTTTGGTGGCCAGTGCTGAGGAGGGAGCTGGCCTCTTGGCACTCCAGTGCTGGGGAGCTGCAGGGGCCTGGCTGAAGGCGGCACCAGGAGCGAGCTCCCCGTGCAGAGATGGTTTTTCTCTTGCTCTTTATCCAAGTGAAGGGTTGATCAGGGTGAGGGGTGGAAGGTCCATCCCATGGAGTCTCATGGGCAGACCCCTGGCAGCTTTTGCACGGCTGTGCCCACTGGCACCACCAGCAAAGCCTTTAACAGGCATGAGCTGAGACACAGACTGGATTCCCAGCCCCACCTTGGCCCCTGGCCCCACTGTCACTGTTGGGTTTCATTCCTGGGGGGGCCCACAAAGCCCCACAAGCAGCGTGGCCGGACACCGTGTGGGGCTGGGGTGGGAGGGAAGCTGCTGGGCACCTACACAGCTTGCCAGGCCCCACGTTGGCTCTCCAGGCATGGCAGAGCTGAGCCCAGCACCAAGCAGGGGCTCTCCTGGGCATGCTCACGGGGGGCTCACTGGGCTGCAGGATTTGCTTTGTTTCTAGAACACATTTCTTACTGTCAGTGCTGCCCCACGGGGCTGGTGCGGCTCTGCCTGGCTGAGCTCTGCCAAGCAGCTCGGGGAGGATGGGTGAGATCTG